TTCTCATTCTTTGTTGTTACATAAACTTAATTCAGAGTTCAATTTCTCTGCTACTGCGTGTAGACTTGTTGGATCTTATCTGCGTGATAGATCTCAATTTGTATCTCGTAATGGAAATGTTTGGAATGAGCTTTCACTTACAAGTGGTGTAGCACAGAGTTTTGTGTTAGGTCCTCTACTTTTTATTCTATATGTGAATAGTTTACAGAAGTGTTTTTGTGATGTTTATTGTAAACCACACTTGTTTGCTGATGATGTATTTCTTGTCTTTAGTTGCATTAATGATTTGCCTTTATCATTTGAACGTAAAATCAACATATCCCTCGCTCAATTTGAACAGTGGTGCTCTGAAAACATGCTTTGTATTAATCCATCGAAAATTAAAGCAATCAGATTTGATAATGCTTTGTATGAACCCAATATATATATTGGTCAACAAAGAATCGGCTTTGTTAATTGTCACAAAATGTTAGGTGTATTAGTGGATGACAAGCTTTTGTATGAGACTCATGTAGATTTGGTTCAAAGGTGAATCTGTAGTACCATTCGTAGATTATATTCTACGAATATATACCTTCCTACTTGGGTTAAAAGAAGGCTGACATATGCTCTATTAATGCCTCATATTTATTTATTTTGGATTCAAAATTATGTCTGGCACAATAAAACGGGTTTCTTCAAAGTTAAAACGTGTGGTCAATACTATAACTCGTTTTGTCTATGGAGATAGACGTCATGAGCACATTTCAAGTTATGTGGAGAGCCTCTAGGGTGTGAACTTTGAACAGTTTGTTTCAATTAGAGTTGTATATGCCTTTTACAAAATAGTAAAAAATGGGTGTACCTCTTTTATTGGCGAATATGTTCAGGTTTGGTATGTCCACGAGAAATACTCAGCTTTTTATACCTAGAATATACAATTCCACTTTTGAGAAATCATTTATTGTTCGAGTTGCCCGTATATGGAATTATCTGCCTATTGAACTCAAAACATTTTCACAAACCAATAATGCATTTCGTTTAAAACTTTTGAATCCTATAATATCTTAGTACTGGTTTTTTTATTCATATTATTCCGTTTGTTAAAGCTTCTGATACTTAAGTTTTGGTTATGTTGTTGCTATCATGTCCATTATTTGTATTATTGTTTTTTTTTCTGTAGTTATGGCTGGGGAGCCTATATACTATATATGAAAATTTGATAGTTTTAAGTTATAATTTACTACTTAGGATTATGTTATGATGTTAATACTGTTCATTGGCCTTGGAGGCTTTAGTATTATTTCATGAAATAAATAAATATAAATATACTTTGAAAATAATGACTATCTTTTATATTACATTAAATCTTAAATTAATTTACTTTTTTTGCAACATAGCTCTATGTTGCAACGCTGGCGGCAATGTTTAAATTCATAACATATATTTCATTATTATCATTATTATCCAATTATTTTTAGCTTTTTGTTGTACAATTTGTCTACGTTAGAATTTGTTACTACCCTTAAGTACAGATTTGTGCTTGAAGGATTGTCAAATTCTAACGATTTTTTAGCGCCGCTTTCCATCATATACGCTAGGTACATTGTAATTATTATTAATTCGTTCGCTATTTTGGGTTACGTCCACAAAACACCATAACAAAGGCAATAAAATTATTTCCGATAATATTATAAATAATCAATAAAATCCTAGGTTAATATTGACACAATTTTAAAACTCCGATTTATTTTCAGTTTTCTCTATTTATTTACGATGCTACGCAAACAATTTGAATGCATGATCTATTGATCATAGCACCACCGTTGAGAATACTACCGTTACCTTCCGGTGACAAAAAACAAAATAAATTGATTTTAAGAAATTTTAAAATTTTTATGTTGACAGTAACTAGAATATTAAATTAGGTAAATTTGAGATTAATAGAGAAATCATGAAATGTCATATATGACATTTTATACTAGCACTTTCCAATATAAACCACTTCCACACATAGGTTGGGGAATGATGACCAGGTTCAGAGCAGCCAAAAAAGGAATTGGCCATCATATTTCGACCAGAGTTCAGGACAACATACGATCGAAACTAAAAAGAAAATAATAATTGAATTAAAAAACAAGATGAATGATGTTAATACACAAAGTAGAGACACATCTGAGACGATTATTCGACATCTAGTTCAAGACAATATTTCTAATCTTCTCAAACACCACAAACTTGATCCGATATTGGAGGAGAAAGATTATCAACTCCAGAACCGGTACGAAATCAGTCATCAGGTTTGCATTGTCATAACAGAAGTCTAAGATATCAGGAAAACGTCAGACATATTAGTGAGAACGGAGTTTCATAGCTTTACTACCAGGACAGTTACTTTTGGAAACCAAAATGAACATAGAAATTGGAATATTATGGAGAACAGTCTACATATTATAAAGAACAGTCACCGTCGGTAGCAGCGTCCTCGATGGTTAATGAACAACTACGAATTAGGGTAGATACATTTTGCCTTAATATTTATGTGAATCTCTAAGAGATCACTGTATATTAATTCATTTTCCGAGTTGAATGTCTCCATTGACAATATGGTATTTCCTGGGATGAGATCCTGCTTGATTCCCTCTTTTAATATCAGTACCTGTGCTGTGGTTTTGGCAGGCACAACAAATGCGAAAATTTTCGCAGTGGATACAATTAAAAGATGTGTTAAAACCGCAGTATCGAAAAACTAAAACAACGTTTAAAGCAATGAGGGATTTAGTGGAGTGGGTGCATATTTCCACGAGATGGGACAGCTTAGATCATACTTAGCGCATCCTATTACGGATGACGATATGGTCAAAAGTATAAAAACAGATCTCATTTTTAGGCAAGATACTATTGACATTTATAACATTCCTGGCTACAATGCTGTACATTGTTGTAGAAATGATGGTTATGGTGGAACGACAGCATTTGTTAAAGATGAATTACATTTCGTTGTGCTGGAAAATGTCAGCAATAATTGTATAGAATCCATTGTGTTGAAAGTAATTGATGTGAAACTTAACGGCAAAGAAATTATTTTTGCATCATTTTATAAATCTCCCAAATGTAATTTTATAAATTATAAATCATTTTTAGAAAGCTTGCTAATTTTGAGTGCAAGACACCCATTCATTATTATGGGTGATGCCAATGTGAATGCTTTGGAATTTGATTCGTTTCAGGAGATTTACGACCTTTTGCATCTTTATGATTTTAAAAGCTGCCATAATCTTATTACGAGACCATGTAGTGGAACTTCAATAGATCATATGTATAGTAATATGTGCGTACCTACAAGGATTTATTCAGTTGAATGTGGACTCTATGACCATAATATGATCATTGCTGAGATACAAATTAAAGTACAAACCAAAGATATACAGCAAACAAGTTTTGAAAAGTGTGATTTTAAAAAATTCAATAGATTTTTGGTAATGCAATTTCGGAATTGTCACATACCGGTGATCCCTCTCTTGACACTGAAAACCTTGTATCATGTATTAAATCTGCGATTGATAAGTCAATAATCAGTGTGACTTATAAAAAGGATATACGTAATTATGTTTCACCTTGGGTGAATGATAACCTTCGGGAGCTAATAATGTATAAAGAACGTCTTTTGAAATTACGAAGAAAAAGGGAAGACAAAGCGATTGAGGAATAATTAAAAAGAATAAGTAGAATTATAAAAAAAGCACACATGGATTCAATGAATAATTTTTATATACTCAAACTAGAAAAATTCAGTCTGATCCCAAAAAATCGTGGCGATTCTTAAATGAAACCCTCGGGAAGAAAACGAATAGAGAGTTGAATGTTGTTGATTTCATTGAAAATCCCATTTTGAATAACAAGTGCAAAGCTTTAGTGTTTCAGCTTTGCACTTGTTATTCAAAATGGGATTTTCAATGAAATCAACAACATTCAACTCTCTATTCGTTTTCTTCCCGAGGGTTTCATTTAAGAATCGCCACGATTTTTTGGGATCAGACTGAATTTTTCTAGTTTGAGTATATAAAAATTATTCATTGAATCCATGTGTGCTTTTTTTATAATTCTACTTATTCTTTTTAATTATTCCTCAATCGCTTTGTCTTCCCTTTTTCTTCGTAATTTCAAAAGATTAATTATTTTTTAGAATCTATAGACAATCATAAACAAAAAATTTTACATTATCCTTCTGACAACATTAACATCTTTGGAACTCTTAATAGGTTTGATTGTCGGTTATGTTTGAATTATACGACCTATGATGAAGTGAAACAAATAATAGGTAAAATAAAAACTGATAAGTGTTGTGGTCATGACGAGATTTATCCCAGATTAATCTTATCTTCGACTAATATAATTACTCCACTTTTAGTAGAAATATTCAACGATGTGATAAGAACAGGAGAATATCCAAACATTTTGAAAATTCATAAAGTAATCCCTATTCCTAAGGAAAGTCAGGCAAGCACTGTCGAAAAATTCAGGCCGATTTCATCAATCAAATTTACAATTACCTAATAAGCAACAATATTTTAAATAAGTATCAGTATGGGTTCCGTAAGGGTTGCGGTACAGAAGAAGCTGTGATAAATGTTCAAAATTATATTTGCCAAGGTTTGGATATGGGTAAAAAAGCTGTAGCGGCTGTTTTTTATGATCTCTCTAAAGCGTTTGATCTAGTTGACCGTAAATTGTTGCTGGAAAAACTAATGTATTATGGTATACGTGGTAATGCACATTCCCTTCTCAAAAGTTATTTAGATAATCGTAAACAGTTCGTACAAGTTGGGACAGAACGTAGCAGAGTAAGTGAAGTTAAATATGGTGTGCCTAAGGGAATTGTTTTAGGCCCCTTACTATTCTCACTGTTTATAAATAGCTTTCAAAATTTAAAATTAACAGGTAAAATATTTTTATATGCGGATTTACACATTCTATATAGTTAATATAATATAATAATCAGAATTAATATAGTATGTTTACGCCAAATGTGCATCCCTAAACTTTCCCCTTTCTTTTTGATTAACTAATATCTTTCTAAAAATGCCAAGGTTATTCCAGTGTAATAACGGCAAGATACTTGTACTAAAGTAATCAGTTTATAGCGAGTATATCGGCCATGTTGAAGGGACAATTTCTTTTTTCATCTGTCTGTTTTTTGCTAACCTTGGAAGATACCACACCTGTCCAGTGAGTAGTCAATCCTAAGGCATCCAAAATAATAAAGATACTCTCCAACACTGAATATCCTAACACTTTATTATTTTATTTTTCTGGTGCTCTGTTGGGTTCATTTTCTTCATCCATTTGTGCAAGCAACGAGAACAAATATACGTACATATATTTGCTTCTTGTTTTGGCTCTCCATTACACGGTCTCTGCAATTAATCAGTGAACTCCCACGCTCCAATTCAGCAATATATGCGTGAACATTTTGGTCCTAACGAGCCGGATCAGAGACAGGGCCGTAAGGAGAGATTTCAGCTTCACAAAAAATTGATGCTCACTGGTATGTTTTGGTTCCTTCGCTAGTTGGATTTTCAAGTGAGATCAGTTTGGTTTTTGTCACACAACACGGTGTTACAAAATTATTATTAAAAAGATAACCTAAAGTTGCCGGTAAACTTGGAGAAAACCCCTAAAGTTGCTGGTAAACTTGGATCAAATACCCTAAAGTTGCTGGTAAACTTGGATCAAATACCCTAAAGTTGCCGGTAAACTTGGACAAACCCCTAAATTTGCTGGTAAAAGTGGAAAAAACCGCAAAAAAAATTGAAGTTTGTTCCAGAGAAGTGCCGACGGCAAAGCATAGCAAGTAAAAATTACAATCTTGTAATCCGCAGTAAGTTCCCCAAATACTGATTAAAGTGTAAAGTGGCAGACCAGGTGAATCTAAATATGGTCATTTTATCCAAAATTTCAAAAAAAAATAATCATATTAAAAAATAAATATAAAAAAATTCACAGTTTACACAAGCCTTTGCTTGATGTAAAATACTTTTGTTTGACAGTGTTTAACACGCTCCTCAAAAAACGTGGTTTTGTTATTTGGTATGTTCAAACCATTATATCGAACAAATGCACATGTTATTAACATAGGTGATCCAACATCAATGTTAATAACATTCCACTGACTGCCGCTCAAGTCATTCCTCATATTGGCATTTATGCGCATGTCCGTTGAGAGTACTGCTTCGCTCATCCACCTGATTAATCTGAGTTTCAGCACATGCCTTTCTCTTAAGTGCGCTGAGCAACGAATCACAACACAAGTCTCTTTGTCCCACATATACGCATGCCGTTCAGAGTTGGACAACACTCATCAAACCAGCTTCTCCTAACTCTTAAAGCACATTTCTCTTACGGCCACTGAGAATTTAAGCGCTCTTGTACATTGAGTGCTGGTGGCATAGTCAGCAACAGTTCATTTTGCCTAGTATGTTGTGGGCTGCGTTCGTTCTCTTTGAGTGGACTTCACTGGTTGGCTGATTGCCTTGCGTGTTTTGTGCTGGTCTCTTCATGTGGATTTCTCTGTTTCCTTATCTCATGTAAATGGTTTGCGCGTACGTGTATGTGCGTAATAACAACAGAGAATAAACAATGATAAGTGAGTCACACGTGCCTGGCGCTCTCCATCAAAATCAAAACAAATAAGAAACAAGCAGTTGGTTCAATGTTTTGTTTCCATTTTGTACCCTCCGCCAGACAATCTGTCGGGTTTGTTTACATTTTTTGCGATATTCCATAGATAGTTCGTCAACAGATAGACTGACACAGTGGGTTGAAGCAGTCTTTAGTCTTTTCATTTTCATATCAGAATTAATACTTTTATTTATTTTATTTTTTTTTGATTTTCTTAAATTGGAATTCAAATTTTTAAATATCTTTTAAGGTTCTAATACTTCTTTTTTTTATTTTTTCTCAATATTTTTGTAATTTTAAATTTATGTTTTTTCTATAATGTTTCACTTTTTTCCTCAAAACAATTTTATTTTAATATTTTTTTTTTAGATTTTTTTCACATTAAACTCACAATTTTATAATTTTTATAATTCTTCTCAGTTTTTTTATTTCTATTCTTGAAATTTATTTCCTCTAATTTTTATTTACTTTTCGATTTTGTCCGAACAACATTTTATATTTCGAAATATTTTTATTTTCTATTTGTTTCAATATTTTTTGATTTTCCAAATATCATAATATTTTTTAATAGTTTTTCTAGATTTTTTCAACTGTTTTCTATTATTCTCTCATTTTTTTCCATTTTTTCTAAAATTTTTTATAGGCAATTTTAATTTTAATTCAATTTAATTCTTTAAACGAATTGAACAAAGTTTTAAATTTGAAGTTAAAAAAAATTATATATATTTCTGTTAATTAATATTAATGGTTTATTAAATATTTCTTTCTTGGATTTTCATAGTAGTGGATTTTTGACATTAAAAATTTTCTTTATTTCTTTTTTGATATCTTTTCATAGATTTTTGATTCAACTTAGGTCATAGGAAAAGAAAACATCTTCCATAAAATTTATATTTTTTTTGTTTTCCATATACATAGATTGTTCAAACTATTTCCTAAATTGAACATTTGTATAAAATTTAGTTTTCTTTTGTTAATTTCCAAATCTAAATCTGTCGAGTGCCTTGAGGATAAATTATTATTTGCTTCTATTGCTAAATCTCAGACCTGATTTTTCCAATATTCCCAATTCCTTGTGATTTACACAAAAAAAGAGAAAGAGGGAAAAATGTCATTAGACAGATTTATTCGCCTAGCTGATAGCTTGGTGGAGTTTGAGGCGTCACTCAATAGCAATGAGTTCCCCGTATCCACACGTTGCCTTTTAGATGCGCACATCGGGGAAACAAAATCTACTTGGGAAAGACTTAGAGTAATATATGAACAATGTTTGGATGACTTGTCCAACAAAGAAGAGAGTGAGGAAGAGGCGGATGACGAAGCGTCAGAAATCGAGACAGTGAAACAAAAATATAGGAATTCGTATTCCACCTACTGTCGCATCATATCAAAGTTAACTGAAGCTTTAGAAAACATGTCGAACATAGTTCACAGTCCCTCTCCTAGCCTTCAACCATCTCCAAACAACCCTTTTCATTTGCCTCCAATAGAGCTTCCCACCTTCCATGGTGATTATAGGTCATGGCCTACGTTCCGCGATATGTTTTCCGCAGTTTGTATCCGCAATTCAAAGTTGTGCCCGGTAGAAAAGCTTTTCCATTTGTCGCAGAAAACTAAGGGAGAAGCTCATGAGATTGTAGCCAAAAGTCCGCTCACCAATGATGGCTTCCAGAATGCCTGGAGTAACCTGTGTGCGCGCTATGAGAACAAAAGGGTTCTTGTTAATGAGCAGCTCAAAATTCTTTTTAGCCTTCCCTCGATTCCAACCGAAAATGCGGCATCTCTTAAAAGGATTCAAAGGGATATAAATGGTTGCATATCCACTTTGAATCTTTATAGCATTGATGTCAACAGCTGGAATCCAATCTTTATATTCTTGTGCTCCAATTGCCTTCCGGATTCAACACTCACATTATGGGAGCAAACGTTGACCGACAAGGCTATCATTCCACAATGGTCAGAGTTGGATAGGTTTTTAACAAACCGTCATAGAACCCTAGAATCGGTTTTGGAACTATTCCCACCAAAACATTACCTGGCACTTCATACCTCCAGGCGCCCCACATATGGGAGGCTTATGGGAGGCGGGGGTAAAAAGCTTTAAGCAACATTTCAAGAAGGTTGCAGGATCTACCAGATACACATTCGAGGAGTTTCAGACTTTGTTATCGCGGATCGAAGCCTGTCTTAATTCTAGACCTATATCCTCTATGTCGCAAAGTCCATCTGACTTAACAGCATTAACTCCTGGCCATTTCTTAATTGGAACTCCAATCTTATTACCGTTAGATCCGGAAATCCAGGAAGAACCGATATCTATACGAAATCGGTGGCAAAGGCTCAAGGCGATCCATCAGCATTTCTGTGCCAGGTGGAAGAATGAATATTTAAAGGAACTCCAGAAACGACATAAATGGAAATCTCCAGAGATTAATGTCACTGAGAATACTCTTGTGGTAGTCCGCGAAGAAAACCTGCCTCCTAATTGTTGGAGACTGGGAAGAGTTACGAAAGTATACCATGGGTCCGACAACCGAGTAAGAGTTGCTGATGTCCGCACGCAAGGAGGCGTGATAACCAGACCCATTACGAAATTAGTCATTATATTAGACAATATCCCATAACTAATTATCCTTTTATCCTAAAATTTCCTAAATTAAATTATTTCTCTATCCTATCCTATCCAAAAATCCCTTTTCCATATCTAATATTTGTCTCTTTTTCAGAAAAATGAAGTTTCACAATAGAAGAACATCAGTTTCCACCAAATGCAAGTTTGCGTGTAGAGTTTGCCGGCAAAGGCATGCTCTTAAGTCATGCTCTCGTTTTCACGACTTAAACACCCTGGACCGTATGCGCGTTGTGAAGAAGTATGGTTACTGCATGAACTGCTTAGCCCATACTCACTCACAGGGGACTTGCTTCACCAAAACGGGCTGTAGGTACTGTGGCAAGGCACATCATTCACTACTCCACACCCATTCTAGACTTCGGAAAGCTTCATCTCGGGAAGCCGAGAGGAGGGTGACAGATGATAGGCATATCAGACAGGCAACTAACTCAACATCAAGTCAAGCTGTACAGTCTTTGTCCGGTTCTTCAACGTCTGGTCGAGATTCACGCATTGCTCCCATTACGCCAACCACCGCATCCCTTACCTCCCTACTAAACCACAACATGGTCACTCTACTGCCAACCATTTTAGTAAGAGTCGAAAATAAGGGAAAAAACCATCAGGCTAGATGCCTTCTTGATTCTGCGGCCAGAATGAGCTACGTATCCCAAAGGCTATTGGATAAGTTAGGCGTGGTATGTCTGGAACTTGACAAGGAAACAATTTGCCCCCTAACTCTATGGGCTACAGCGGAATTGTCAAGGAGTATAGATGTTACACTAAGAGTAAACCACCGGATCGGCACCCTGACGCCAAAGAAATCGCTCCCTGACTCCATAAAAGAACATTTCGCTAACTTTATATTGGCAGATAAGTTTTTCAACGTATCTGCGCCCATTGACATCGTTCTAGGCGTCGATGTATACGCAAGAATTGTACTCGATGGAATGTATGCCAAACCCGGACTTCCAACTGCCCAAAGTACTTTATTTGGAATTGTACTGTACGGAACATTCAACCATTAGATTAGAATTTAGACTAAAAGTCATTTTTTTTTTTAATTATTATATCTCAAAAAAAAAAATGAATATTATTCAAATTGGATTTTTATAAATAATGAACTTACAAATGTGAATTTTTAAACTAAGTTCTATTTAACCTGTTCGAAATTAATTATTCCCATTCTATATATGTCTCTTCAACATCCGCCATAATAAGTTTTTTTTTAAATATTTATTCCATTACAGTACACACTGTAAGGGGGAGGAATGTTTACGCCAAATGTGCATCCCTAAACTTTCCCCTTTCTTTTTGATTAACTAATATCTTTCTAAAAATGCCAAGGTTATTCCAGTGTAATAACGGCAAGATACTTGTACTAAAGTAATCAGTTTATAGCGAGTATATCGGCCATGTTGAAGGGACAATTTCTTTTTTCATCTGTCTGTTTTTTGCTAACCTTGGAAGATACCACACCTGTCCAGTGAGTAGTCAATCCTAAGGCATCCAAAATAATAAAGATACTCTCCAACACTGAATATCCTAACACTTTATTATTTTATTTTTCTGGTGCTCTGTTGGGTTCATTTTCTTCATCCATTTGTGCAAGCAACGAGAACAAATATACGTACATATATTTGCTTCTTGTTTTGGCTCTCCATTACACGGTCTCTGCAATTAATCAGTGAACTCCCACGCTCCAATTCAGCAATATATGCGTGAACATAGTATGTTAAATTGTTGTCAATTAGCCTCTATAAAGCCAACTGGCGCTGAGGCGACATCTATATTTGAATTGTATATTAATGAATTGTAAATAAAAAAATAATATATATATGGGAGCATATAAAATGCTTATTTACCCAATATCTATACCGACCGTGGAAATGATGCGATTGGAATGCAAGGACGCAGAGAAAAGCATACCCCGGAGGCACCAAAGGCCTATGGTGGTAATTTATTTATGAACTGCCAATCTACTGATAGGTTATTATTTTGTTCCAGATGTTGCAAGCCCAACACCATCACTCCTAAATGTCCGAACTGTCTGTGGGGTAACCACAGCAAGCCGGGGAGACACGTCCGGCAGGGAACCCTGCGAATTAAGCAAACCAGAGAAGGTCCGTTAGAAACAGTGACATATATGACATACATTTCCGACGTAATACATACATCAGAAACAACGGAAACCCACCCAAAATCATTAGGTTTTTGAGAAAATAGATAAATTTATTAATCCATTTACAGATTGCGTATGCTTTTCTCAAATCCATATCCAATTTCAGAATTATTTTCTCAAAAAAGATAAGAATTTTTTATCAGTCCTAGTAAAAAATAGTCAGATATATGTAAAACTAATACATATTCTTGGATATAACTATATATGTTGAAAATATTCATATAAATGACGTTTACTACATTCATTACATTGTATACGGGTATATTACGTTTTCGACGTTTACAACTTTTTGACAGTCGAAAACCTAAAAATTCGTCACACGGACCATCCCTGAAGACAACATAAGTCCAACATACAGCAACAACCATATAAAGAAGTGGAGGAAAATCACGATGTGGAGGCTAACAAGAGTTACAATTGGGATAGAAACAGACATTGCATGCCACTTATTGATTGGGAAAACAATTATGACAAGTTAAACATACTAAAAATTCGCCACAAAACGGCAGAAAAAAGAAAACTATTATGGCAGAGGCAATAGATCGAGCAGAGTCAAACACTAACGATTCAAGATTATATGCCGATATTTTTATACCCTCCACCATAGTATGGAGGGTATATTAGTTTTTTCATTCCGTTTGTTACTCATCGAAATATTCATTTCCGACCCTATAAAGTATATATATTCTTGATCAGGGTAAAATTCTAAGACGATATAGCCATGTCCGTCCGTCCGCCTGTTGTAATCACGCTATCTTCCGAAGGAACTGAGATAGGGTGCTGAAATTTGGCATAGGGTTGTCTTTTGTCTGCAGGCAAGTCAAGTTCGAAGATGGGATATATCGGTCCACGTTTAGGCATAGCTCCCATATATGAGTACCCCCCAATTTTCGGTATTTTTAAGTTCTTGACCGTGTTTTTCAATCGAATTCACTGAAATTTGGTACGTTGGGTTTTTATTGGATACTAAATGTCTCCACAAAAAATTATGAGTATAGGTCCACTTTTTTTTGGTAGCCCCCATATAACGACACCTTCTAACTTTCAGTATTTTGGGGGTTTTGGTCGTATTTTTCCACCGAATTGGCTGTAATTTAGTATTCGAGTACTTTGTTACCATATACGACTACAAACTACCAAATTGCAGCGAATTCGGTTGAAAAACGCGCTCACGAACCCCAAAATAGCCAATATTGGGGGAACCCTTATATGGGGTCTACCCGAAAAAATTGAGTCAAGTTCGAAGATGGGATATATCGGTCCACGTTTAGGCATAGCTCCCATATATGGGTATCCCCCAATTTTCGGTATTTTTATACCCTCCACCATAGTATGGAGGGTATATTAATTTTGTCATTCCGTTTGTAACACATCGAAATATTCATTTCCGACCCTATAAAGTATATATATTCTTGATCAGGGTAAAATTCTAAGACGATCTAGCCATGTCCGTCCGTCTGTCCGTCCGTCTGTTGTAATCACGCTATCTTCTGAAGGAATTGAGATAGGGTGCTGAAATTTTGCACAAAGTTGTCTTTTGTCTGCAGGCAGGCCAAGTTCGAAGATGGGATATATCGGTCCACGTTTAGACATAGCTCCCATATAACAGTACCCCCCAATTTTCGGTATTTTGAGGTTCCTGAGCGTGTTTTTCAACCGAATTCGCTGAAATTTGGTACTTCGAGCTCTTATTGGGAAGCAAATCTCCCTACCAGAAATAAATATAGGTCAATTTTTTCTGGTACCCCCCATATAACGGTACCCCCAATTTTCGGTATTTTAAGGTTCTTGAGCGCTGTTTTCAACCAAATTCGCTGAAATTTGGTACTTTGAGCTCTTGTTGGGAAGCAAATCTCCCTACTAAAAATTATAAATATAGGTCAATTTTTTCTGGTACCCCCATATAACGGCACCCCCAATTTTTGGAATTTTAAGGTTCTTGAGCGCGGTTTTCAACCGAATTCGCTGAAATTTGGCACATTGGGTTCTTAATAGGTTCCAAATCTCTCCACCAAAAATTATGAATATTGGTCTATTTTTTCGGATACCCCTAATATAAGAATACCCCCAATTTTCGGTATTTGGGGGTTCTTGAGCGCATTTTTCAACCGAATTTGCTGCAATTTGTAGTCGTATATGGTAACAAATCTCTCTACCAAAAATGTTTAATATTCGCTATATAACCCCCGATATAATCCCCTTTTTATACCCTCCACCATAGTATGGAGGGTATATTAATTTTGTCATTCCGTTTGTAACTCCTCGAAATATTCATTTCCGACCCTATAAAGTATATATATTCATGATCAGGGTAAAATTCTAAGACGATCTAGCCATGTCCGTCCGTCTGTCCGTCCGTCCGTCTGTTGTAATCACGCTATCTTCTGAAGGAATTGAGATAGGGTGCTGAAATTTTTCATAGGGTTGTCTTTTGTCTGCAGGCAGGTCAAGTTCGATGATGGGATATATCGGTTCACGTTTAGGCATAGCTCCCATATAAGGGTACCCGGCAAATTTCGGTATTTTAGGGTTCTTGAGCGCCTTTTCAGCCGAATTCGCTGAAATTTGGTACATTGGGTTCTTATTGGATACTAAATGTCTCCACAAAAAATTATAAGTATAGGTCCATATTTTCTGGTAGCCCCCATATAACGGAACCTCCTAATTTTCAGTATTTTGGGGGTTTTGATCGTATTTTTCCGCCGAATTAGCTGTAATTTAGTATTTTGAGTTCTTAATAGGTACCAAATCTCTCTACCAAAAATTATTAATATTCGCCCCCTTTTTGGGGTAGTCCCCATATAACCCCCTTTTTTATACCCTCCACCATAGTATGGAGGGTATATTAATTTTGTCATTCCGTTTGTAACTCCTCGAAATATTGATTTACGACCCTATAAAGTATATATATTCATGATCAGGGTAAAATTCTAAGACGATCTAGCCATGTCCGTCCGTCTGTCCGTCTGTTGTAATCACGCTATCTTCTGAAGGAATTGAGATAGGGTGCTGAAATTTTGCATAGGGTTGTCTTTTGTCTGCAAGCAGGTCAAGTTCGAAGATGGGATATATCGGTCCACGTTTAGGCATAGCTCCCATATAAGGGTACCCGGCAAATTTCGGTATTTTAGGGTTCTTGAGCGCCTTTTTTAGCCGATCTCGCTGAAATTTGGTACATTGGGTTCTTATTGGATACTAAATGTCTCCACAAAAAATTATAAGTATAGGTCCATATTTTCTGGCAGCCCCCATATAACGGAACCTCCTAATTTTCAGTATTTTGGGGGTTTTGGTTGTATTTTTCCGCCGAATTGGCTGTAATTTAGTGTTTTGAGTTCTTAATAGGTACCAAACCTCTCTAAAAAAAATTATGTATATAGGTCAATTTTTTCGGGTAGTCCCCATATAAGGGTGCCCCCCCCCCAATTTTCGGTATTTTGGGGTTCTTGAGCACGTTTTTCGCTGAACTTTGCTACATTGGGTTCTTATTGGGTCCTTAATGTCTCCACAAAAAATTATAAATATAGGTCCACTTTTTCTGGTAGCCCCTATATAATGGTACCTCCCAATTTTTAGAATTTTGGGGGTTTTGATTGTATTTTTCCTCCGAATTAACTGTAATTTAGTATTTTGAGTTCCTAATAGGTACCAAATCTCTCTACCAAAAATTATTAATATTCGCCCCCTTTTTGGGGTAGTCCCCATATAACCCCCTTTTTATACCCCCCACCATAGTATGGAGGGTATATTAGTTTTGTTTTTCCGTTTGTAACGCATCGAAATACTCATTTCCGACCCTATTTTGAGGTTCTTGAGCGTGTTTTTCAACCGAATTCGGTGAAATTTGGTATTTTGAGTTCTTATTGGGTAGCAAATATCCTCACTAAAAATTATAAATATAGGTCCATTTTTTCGGACAGCCCCCATGTAAGGGTAACCCCAAAATTTCGGTATTTTGAGGTTCTTGAGCGTGTTTTTCAACAGAATTCGCTGAAATTTGGTACTTTGAGTTCTTATTGGGTACCAAATAAACCTACTAAAAATTATAAATATAGGTCAATTTTTTCTGGTACCCCCCCATATAACGGTACCCCTCAATTTTCGGTATTTTGGGGTTCTTGACCGCGTTTTTCAACGGAATTTGCTGCAATTTGGTATTTTGTAGTCGTATATGGTAACAAATCTCCCTACCAAAAATTATTAATATTCGCCCCCTTTTTGGGGTAGTCCCCATATAACCCCCTTTTTATACCCTCCACCATAGTATGGAGGGTATATTAGTTTTGTTTTTCCGTTTGTAACGCATCGAAATACTCATTTCCGACCCTATAAAGTATATATATTCTTGATCAGCGTAAA